CTGTGCTGTGAGCATTCATTTAACTCGACGTAGCCACATCCTGAAGAGCATGTCCTGCTTTCAGTGCCTTGCTGAATAGAACTGCAAGCTTTTATTTAATTTCCATTCTATTTCCTTTTGAAAGAGAGAGGATGGGATGACAGACTCCAGAGGGAGCACTTTCAAGACATTTGTATGAATGACTGGGCTACAGAATAGCTTCAGTCGGTGGACACAGCTGTTTCGTGTACACCACCCTGCTTCAGGTTGTGGTTTTGTAAATGGGAGGAAATCAGCACAGCAGTGGGTTTATGTCCTGGGAAGGACGCATCAGAGGGCATCTGAAAAGCCAGTTGGTGGGTGTCCCAGCTGCGTGGCGTGCACCAGTGGAAAACTATATGATTTTTTATGATGATGTATTTTAATGCCTAGATATTGAGTTCTTCTTTTACGTTAGGGGACACATCTATGACCTCCATGGACGTGTGGCCAATGCTGCTTTTTACGTAGTCTCGCAGAGCTTTTCTCTTTGGTGGTGGATAGTAAAGACAAGGCCAGGAGCACAAAGGGGCAAGGGGTCAAGTCCAAGGGTTTCTCTGATGCCTCAGATCTGCAAAAGCAACAGGAGCAGCTGTTTCTATCTGAGAAGGGCTCCTGCCCTAAAGTCAGAGTTCCAAATGCTTATGAGTGTCCCTGTCTTTTACTTTTTGTTTTTTTGTTGTTGCTTGGGTGTTTTTCTTTTGTTTTGTTTTGTTTAGAATTTGCCTGAATTTTGCATGTCGGCTTTAATGTAAATACTGCTTAAAATACTTTATTTATTTTATTATGATTTTTTCCATCACCATTCTTAAATGTCTATACAAGACAAATGATAGTAATATGTACAACTAAAAGTTATTTTCTCTTAATATGTACAACCAAAAGTTATTTTCTCTTAAATTCTTTTTCTTTTTTCTTTTCTCTTAAATTCTTAATCTCAGGCAAACCCATGACCAGAGATGAAGCAAGATCAGGAATATTTGTGTCTTGAAAATATCCGTGGGGCGGCTCGTGTGGGTTTCGAGATTATTTGTTCATCATTTTCTTTCTCCAGTTGTTTTTACAATAGTATCTTTGGAAGAGAAAAGAAAATATATACATATGTATATATAACCCAGCGTTTTATTTAATGCAAGTTTGCACCTTAACCATCTACAGGAACTTAAAACAGCCTTGCTGCTGTTGTTGGTGGTAACTGTCAGGAGAGCAGGCCGGGCGCTGGGTGAGTGGTGCTCTTTCCATCCCCGCTCCGCTCCCAGCAGCCTGAGTGCTGCGGCGCTGAGAGCCGGAGCCTCCCTGCAAGGGAGCTGAGGCCGTTTCCATGGAAACCCAGTCAATCTCTTCTGCCATTTCCAAACCCAAGCTGTGCAGCACAGGCTGCCGTCTGATTCTATCCACGGGGGATGCCGATTGTCCCACCCGGGCTTCCTTCGTGGAAAAGGCGTGCTCCTAGATGGGCAGATGCAAATCGCATGTTTGCAAATCAATTTCACGCCACGCCCATTGTCGAGGATGCTGGAGCTGACTGGGTTTGAGAGGCGAAGATCCCTTTTGTTAGATGAACAGTCACTTCCCCATCCATTGACTTCAGAACATTTTTTTTTTTAATGTTGAGATTTCTTAAAGCTAGGAAATTTGTATGTAAATCTATGAGTTTTTAAAGAGCCTTAAATTCTTGCACAGTAACATAAAAATGGATACCAAGAGCGGTTAGAAGGAGGAACCGTTGAAAAGCCAGTCAGGGCTGCCTTCTGTGGTCTAGAAGCACCACCTAAAGATGGAAAAGCTGAATTACTACCCCGAAAACCGGGGCTGGTTATCTCAGGGAGACACAGCCAGTGTTTCCAGCATGTCTCTGCCCTGGGCGCTGGGGATGGGAATTGACGTTGAGGGCAGCCTGAACTGTGGCGTTCACAGGAGCCTGTGCAGGTGGGCGGAGGCGTCTCAGGAGGAGATGACGTCCGGCCCCGGAGGCCTGTGAGCCTTGTCAGGCCAAAGAGTTTCCCCACATTCATTCAGGCGACTAGCAAGTGGCATGCCTGGGATGCTCGCCCCACACACCCACCTCCAAACCCTGGAAATGAGAACAATCCTTTTTAGAGAGAAAGGCCTCTTTCCAGTGATTTTTTTTCTTCCTCAACACGGTGAAAGCTCTAAAAATAAGCTAAGTCAATCTCGTTTTGTTTGTTCTCATGATGAAAGAGGACATTTTAAAAACTTTTTTACTGAAACCTAGTTTGATTTTAAAATTAAGGGCGTAACACTCATAATCCCACTGGTGTAGACTTCAGCACCACACTTGCTATTTGCAATTAATCTCATAACACAGATACATTTGAGCTTGCAGTCTGCACTTGAGTAATGCTTATTTAGTGGACTTTGGTGGAGCCCTCCCTATGTATCATTAATCTCTTTACATAATCACATTTAATGATGGTCCAGTAATCTCAAAAAAGCCCTAATTTAAAGACTAATTAATAAATTAAATAAAACGAAACCCACACAGTGTCCCCCCACCACCCTCAATGCTAGCGGTTGTGAGTTGTATTTATACTGAAATCTACTGTTTTCAAAGTAGTTCAGGTTCTCCCACAACCCATCCCACCCCAGAAATGCAGCAAGAGCCATCAGTTGTTTTATTCTACCCTCCCAAAATTGTATACATCCAGTGTTCTTTAACTTTTTAAGATATAAATTGGGAGTTATTAATAAACTTTTTTAAAAGGCACGTTATCAATAACAAGAAGGACATATAAACCAAGCAATAAAAGTATTGGACAGGACATTAAGTTACCACAATCACTGGTTAAAACACCTATTTTCTTATCAAACAATGGATTATACATTCATAAATGACATTTAAACACATAAAAACTACCACAAAAACGTTTATAGGTAGTAAAAATATGATTTTCACTGAATTATTTGGCTATAATGTCTCACTTTAAATTTGAGAAGAGTCAACTTCCTTCTGCCCCAACAAAAAAGAACATCTCAAAAATGTTTAGCCATGTTAAAATGAATAAATTTTAAATAAACGTGCACTACGTACTTGAATTAGAAAGTTTAAGAATCTTTTTCTTTTCTTAAGCAAAAAGTAATGCCAAGTATATATTACTGTTTCTTGGTACATTTTTAATACAGATACATGCACCAAGATTAGCTTCTCTTGGATAGAATGATTTTTGTTGCTTTCAAATATGCCGTCCTGTGTAAGCTTATGGGTTTGGAGTTTACCTACATAAGGTGTCATTTGAAAAACCAGCTAGTTAAGTTCAGTCATTTAATTTAATTTTTAGACAATAATTACTTAGCAACTGACTGAATAGTCTTATGATCAAACTTTAAGTGTATGTAAACAGCTGTTACTTGAACAAAAATCAGGTCTAACAATTGGATTTGGAGTGTTGTTCATGATATGCAGAGACTGTTTGAAATACTTCATCACTGTTCTGCCTCAAATTCCTCTTTTAAAGACCCCAATTACCCTTAGTCTGAAGGGCGGTGATGGGAGCACACAGAAGAACCCTCCACTGCTGCTTCACTCAGTGACCCTCATTCTCCCGGGAGCAGGTCCTCAATTAGACCTTTCCTCTGATATGATATGGAAAACATCCGTTTCTATACCCTGAGATCTAGAGTTCTGTTCCCTTTCTTAGGACTAAAGGAGAGTACTGAAAACCATTTACACATCCAAGTGTCAAAATATGACATTCATACACTTAAAATTCGGCCAATTTCATGTATTTCCACTCTAATCCCTGCCGTTCTCCTCTGATCTTGAGAAAGCCCACCTTAAGTAAGCGCCTTGCTGTCCTGGTCTCAGCCCCAATATCCTATCCACAGTGACTTTCTGAGTGGAAAGCAAATTGAAATCTCTAGGAGCAGCAGACATGTATTAACTGTTTTTAAATTGTGATTCTTGATCTTGACAAGAATTCAGGCACTCACTGAGGCAGGAAGGGGCATGGAGTACGCTTTGATGCTTCCTACTGGGGTAATATTGCTCACTAAGTTGCTTTATCCTTGTCATTTTTGGAGAGTTACAAATGTAATAGAAATAAAGGGGAATTTTTTCTTAATTTTTACATTCATGGTGGGTGCAAATGCAACTGAAATAGCCCAAAGTGCAAGTGTGTTTGCAGTGCTATCTTATTATTCTTGAGACAGCACAGTTAAGAAGTTATACGGAGGGCAATATAATTATAAAGCTCTTTTTTAAAAAGTCTCTGATTAGAGAAATGGCAAGACCTTAATTAAGAAACAGGATGGGGTCGCCTCGGTAGAATTCAGTAGATGAGCATGTGTCCCCGTGAACTGTTCAGAGCTCTCCACTGACTGACCTGGTGGATCTGAACTGATTTATGTTCTACTCATATTGCTCAAGAGTAACAACTATTTTAAGGGCTATCAAACCTGCCTGAGTGCAGTGGTTGTCGGAAAGACGGTCGGCCTGCATTCCCATGGTCCAGATACAGGTCGCTACCCTCACTGCTCCCTGGGGCCACCCAGGCTGGCCGCAGCCCTGGTCAGTCCAGGGAAGGGGAGACTTTGTAGTGCTGGGGTCTGAGTTCAGACTAAGACCATTCTCTCAGACCTCAGGGCACGTCTGTTCATGTGTGAGCCTCGCTTCACGCGTTGGCTGGTGCAATAACAAGCCCCGTGGTTGCTGGCTCTCCTGAGCTTTAAGAATGAGGGGAGAAAAGGTGGGCTGTTAGGAGGGAAGACAGATTCTAGAATGAGCAGCCTGGGGACCAAAAGTGCAGCATCTGCTCCAGAGACTGTGGGGAGCGGAGCGGCCACGAAGCTCCCGGTGCTCTGGAAGGTGTGCGTGTGGCCACGGTGACTTCCAGCTCCACTCAGCCTCTTTCAAGTAGGAGGTGAAGCAGTAGAGTTACTTTGCTTTTTGGATAAAAAATAGTTAATTTTTCAGGGAATTTTATTCCTTTCAATTGTAACACAATTTGCGTTTTTGATTGTAGGTGCCCCACACCTGGCTGTGACGGTTCTGGACATATCACTGGCAATTATGCTTCTCATCGGAGGTATGTAGAGATGCTACTCTTCTCTCCAAAATGCTCCTTCTCACTGAAATGGTGGGAATATCACTCACTTCAGGCTCCAAGCCTTGCAAAGTTTGACACCATCGGCAAAATTAGGGATCTAGAGACTCTTAGCACCATAAAGCAGTGACGTCCTCATTGGAGCTTCTCTTAGAAAGCAAACCTTCCTTTTCCGGGGCCACTGTCTCCTCTCAGGACATTTCACGTGCAGTGCCAAGTAGCCCCACTGAGAAACATTCCTAGTCATCCAGCAGCACTTCTTTCTAAATTGGAAGAGTAAAGGAAAAAGAACAGTATCTACTGTAAGATTCCCGAGAAAAGCCATCAAGAGACACACATTCTAATATCACTGAGAGTTGGTCTCTTAAATATTAAGATTGGACCACAAAGCTGTACAGTTATTCTAAGCAGGCTTCAGTAGAGCTAAGTGCTACAGAAGCACTTAATGTTACAAAGTCTAGGCACTGTCTCTCCCAAAGAGAGGATAGTGTCCAAAATATAATATAGAGATTTGGTCATGTGAGATAACAAAAATTCTATGCTACTGGACATTCAGTAACCACTGGATGAACATGGAATTGAGGACAGGCACTATTTAGCCGAGAATGGAAAGAAATTGTGGTACTATTCGAGAAAAAGTTCACCACTTGTTAAAGACGGTACATCAGACCATTCAAGGAGGGTGGGCAGGGCAAGAGGTCCAGGGGCCATGCAATGAGCTGCTGCAGTCAGAGAGACTGGACTCAACTCGAACCCCATTGAGGACAAGTGGGGAGCAGGTTGGGGTCAGTGGATGCAAAATTCCCCACAGGAAGCATCAAGGAGAAGGGATTTCTGGCCAATGGACTTGATGGGATCATTGCTGATGGCTGGCCAGGGTGGTAGGACCTCCAAGTGCTCAGACAGGTGGTGGGGAATTGTTCTTAAACTGATTTAGAAGGATTCTTGCTCAAACTGGACCCTACAAGGACAGAGAGGGAAGTCAAGGTTGGGTGCATTCTAGTAAAGGACCCAGAGGAGCTCAACTAAAGTTTTGGTCAAGAAGAAAACCTTTGTGAAAATATTGTCCACTCGAAGGCAAATCCACTACATGCCATGAATGTTTAAGTCACGTTTAGATGTACCAACAGCCAATGCCAAGGTGAGGACAAGAATGTTTCTGAAATAAGACCGATTTAAAGTGAAGTCTCCCCATATGGGAAACAATGCTGCATCTATCAAATAAATAAACTAAGTTGTACGATATCTGCTCCCCTTCATCTCTCTAAATTTTAGATTATAAAGTAGGCAGTCCAGAAGCAGGTGAGGCCTGCTTTTAACATACTGCTTGCAAGAAAAAAGAAAGAAAGAGAGAAAAGGCAGGAAAGGCAGGAAAGGCAGGAAGGCAGGGGGAGGGGGAAGGGGAGGGGGAGAGAAGGGAAGGGAAGGGTAGGGAAGGGAAGGGAAGGGAAGGGAATGGAAAGGAAGGGAGGGAGAGAGGGAGAGAAAGGAAGCTAGGAGAGTTAAAGAGAGTGTCAGCCATGGATAATGACCCCCCCCGCCCCCCAGGGCAAGGTTGTCTGCACAGAGTCGCTGAGTGAAACCCACTGTCTGTCCCTGAGTGACCAGATCCCGGTGGTCAGAGGAAGGGACCCTCGCCTGACTTGGTTGGCATTTTGGATTAGAAACAGCACTCACAGGATGATTGTTTTTGTCATTAAAATCTCACTGAAAGTAATTTGCTCCTGTGCTCACATCCCAGTCATTTGAGAGCTATGTTTAAACAGCACGTGTCTACGAAAAGCACAAATTGTGAATGCCACCAAGGAAAAATGAAGTCTACAACTTGGGGGAGGATTCTTCAGACTCAGTGCCAATGTCTCACGCTCTTGACCCAGATTCCTCAGCCTCTGCAGTGCTGGCATGTGGGGGCAGATGGCTGTTTGCCATGGGGGCCGCCCCCGCATGTCCTGTGCGGCATCCCTGGTCCTCACCCACCAAATGCCAGGAGCATCCACCCATTCATGACAACCACAGATGCCTGCAGTCATTGCTGAGTGTCCCCTGAGGGGACGACTGCCACAGACCAGGGGCAGCAGAGGCTTATTACATTGATGCAGCTTCACCAGGCAGCACAGAAACAGCCACCACGTTTGGTAGAACAAGAGTGAGTCACGCCATCCAGCAAGACTGCCAGAATTAAATCACTGGTTTAGATTAAATAAAAATTTGTAAAACTCCAATTAAATATACAAAGACAAGAACATTCCATGCTGGTCTTTATTTCATCTTAGAAAAGCGATGTCTCGGTCCTATCACATGGCCAGAGCTTCCGGCGTGGCATAGTGTCAGCACTCGGTCCTATCCCATGGCCAGAGCTTCTGGCGTGGCATAATGTCAGCGCCCCGTAAGGTGAACACTTCCTGGTCACTTCGTGTCCAAATGTCTGTTTTTCTTCTCATTTTTTTTGGTGGGGGTTGTCATCATGTAAATTTAGTCATCATGTTGTTTAAACATTTTATTCATTTTACATATATCTTAGACTGCTAAGTATTAATATAGCACAAACCCATGATTAAAATCTAATCTAAGCTCAAATTTAAGCTACCATCTATGCCTGGAATAAATAATCCCAGGGTAAGTCGATAGAGTTGGAAAGTAAGTGTGATTTGTGTTTGGAAAATCTGAGACCTAGGCAGAGGCCTCTCGGGGTTTTAGCGTATTGAAGGCGGAACACCTTGTGACATTACTTGTTCTAGTAACAGCTTCCCTGGCATAGACATCTAAACAGGGCTGAGCACGTTGCTCAGAAGAAAAGTCCCCGCTAAAGGAAGATGGAGGCCCCAGCGAAACAAGTGCAGTTCTGTGTATTTGGCTGCTGAAGACAGACAGAAGCCAACAAGGAAACTCCCCCAGGTCTGTTGGCTCTTGGTGGCCAGAAACGCAAGTAGAAGGAACTTCTTTTCATGTTAATCTTCTATTGTCTGTTTCCAGGAACAGGAAGATAATGTTACGTATAGGCAAACTTCACTTAGATGATGATTCCCTGGCCACCTTTTTCCCTCAATCGTGCCATAATTCAAGGTAGTTGTGTGAGTTCAAGGCATCCTCTTCCCGCACTGTGGGCTGTTGTGAGAGGGAAAGTCACCAAACAATGATCCTGAACGTGTTCAGAGCACAGATCTGCCTCGCGCATCTGTGGTGTCTGGAATTCTCCCTCCGGCTCCCAGGACAAAAGCACACACTCCAATTCTGTCTGCAGTTGCAGAGTATTCCCAGCTCCCTTCTGAGGGAAAAGTGAGGCCAAGCCCTGGCCTTATGCTGGGCCCGTTCTGGGAACCTAGGCAAGGAGCTGTCCTCCACCATCTCCAGGGATGCGCTGAGAATTAGCAATTTCATTAACTTTTGAATTTGCGGAAACTGAGGGGCCAGGAGATACAGTAGCAGAGCTGCACTCGAGCCCATGTCATCTGACTCCAAGTCCCACCTCCAGGCAGCCCCACGGGCCTAGGATGGCCCTGGAGAAAGTGTGTGTGCCTAAACCACCTGGAGAAGGCGGGGTTGTACCTGCCTCTTAGCGATGGTGTTTTCCAGCCTCCACATAGCATCCGAAATGTCCCTAAGTCCATTTCAACAAATGTTCATTGACTATGATGTTCTATCAAACAATCCTCTATCCGCTGCTTTGCTGACTCTCTGTCCTCAGTGAACAGAGGCCCTGTTGACCATATGCCTACAAAGTCTTCCACGTCATTCACAGTCATCCACGGGGCTCCTCTTTATACTCTCGTTTTCAAACTAACAGACTGTTTCTTAAGTGTGTCCTCAAAATCCTGTTTTCCAGACACCTTTGCTCTTTTCTCCGACCACCGCCCACAGGCCCTCTCCTTCACCTGTAGTCTCTGGGTCCTGCCAGACAGGCCTGCCCAGGGGTGCTCCTCATTCTCTCTGTCCAGCCATCCCACATGCCTTTTTCATAGGATCAGGCAAGCAGCAAGAGCTCCAAAGGCCCTGAAGTTGTTCCAACGCAGAAGTCAAGTCCACATTTTCCACAAATGATGATGCTCCAGGAATCCAACTCCCACTAGAGCACCCTGTGGCCTCTACAGTTCCTGAATGGCATCTAATCACGAAAGAACATTTACTGGGCACCTGCTACATACCAGAAATTACAGTGAGCATTTTACATGTATCATCTCAGCATCCTATGAGATCATTGGTGTCCTGACTGCAAATGAAGGTGCGTGGGCACGGAGATGCTCGGCTGCCCGTCTTGTCAGCGCCTGCACTCACCCGGAGCACTTCCACTCTGCTCTTTTACCATAATGCGCAAAATGGAAGCCTCCAGCATGGCAGTCAAATGGCCGGACCGTGTCTGCCCATTGCCACCCCAGTGTGCTGTGGGGACTTTAAACAGGGACCCCAAAGGCCTCACCTGCTGTGAAATGAAACATCACCAGGTCCTGAAGAAGACAGTGAAGAAACAGGCTCGATGTCATGCAGAAGAGCCAGGAGCGAGTCTGCCTTGGAGGGTCTCAAGTCCTGCTGCCCAAATCCGGAGAGGCGGCTCCTCACCAGGGAGCCTCGGGAACCTTGGAAGGCGGTGCTGGTGCAACCCTGTCAGGATCTGCTCTCACACAGGTGCAAAGCTGTTTAGTCAGAGGGTCAGGAGGGTCACAGGATCCACTCTCATGCCTGCAGAGCCGTTTCACCAGAGGGTCGGTGAAGTCTGTGTTCTGCCCCGGGCTCCGGGCCAGACAGCCACTCTAGCACCACTTTGGCCTGGAGGCCACGAGGTTCACTGCCCTTGACCACATGTCTCCCGGGATCCCAAATCCTCCAGTTTCTCATAATCCTGCACTCACCTGTTGTTGGCCCTTGCTCGCTGGAGCTGTCCGTGTGCTCTGTCCGTGTGCTTACGCTGGAGCTGTCCGTGTGCTCTGTCCGTGTGCTCTGTGTGCTCTGTCCGTGTGCTCTGTCCGTGTGCTTACGCTGGAGCTGTCCCTGTGCTTACGCTGGAGCTGTCCGTGTGCGTACCCCCAGCCTTTCCCTCCCCAGAGAACACAGGGCTCTGAAGTGTTTATAGCATTTCCAACATTTACAAAGTTCCAGATAAAGATGTGGACATAGCATGAGCCCCTGTGAATTGTGGAAAACAGTTTCTGTCTAGGAAATTGTTAATCATTTAAACGTAATCCCAAATGTCAGTGTGGAATTCCAGAAACCTAGTAAATTAGTAAATACCTGTTTGAGTATGTAATCTGTCCCCGAGGCAAAGGAACAGCAATAACTAAGGCGTTCCTAGCCTCGAGGTACAGGTAGTTACGAGGAAGGACATAAAAGCTAACCAGCCTGGCGCACTCCAGCACATTCCTGCACATTTAAGGGAAACCAAGATGGGCTCCAAGAGGACGCACACTCAGGGCAGTGGCCTTGGGGCCTCCGGGCCAGGATGGCACTAGGGTGGGAATCCGACCTGAAAGATACTTTTCAAACATGTCTGTACTTATCAAAGCCTAAAGATAATGAGTAAGTCATGTCTTAATTCTGACGAGGCAGGGTGAGTCGGAGCCCAGGACAGAGGAGGCGATGCTGAGCCACGGTGTGATGGATGGGGAGGGTCTCTAGGAGGTTGAGCAGAAAAGGATATTCCAAGCAAGGGAACAGCATTAGAGAACGTCTTATGACACCAACATTAATGCACATTTGACAGTGAATAATTCAGCTTGGCAACAGTTTCAGGTCTAAGCCTATGGGAGCAGCTACAAATGGAACTTGCTTTAGGAGTCCAGTTGAATTCAGTATGAGGGGGTTAAACTTTATTTGCTGGAAAATGGATATCCACCCAAGTGCAGGCTTAGCTTTTAGCCTAGAGAGCAGGCTGCTGAGAGACGGGAGGTACCAAGAGCACACTTGGGCGGTGATGGTGACAGCCGGGAGAAGAGCTGGTGCAGGTGAGGAGAGCAGCAATGGGGCCGTGACCAGCAGGGTCAGGAGTGGGAGGGGCCCCTGGGGAAGAAGGCAGGCACTAAAGAGGGAGGACCTGGGATGCAGCAAGCACCCGGGGGACATCATCATCTGACATATAGAAGTCCACCAGGAGGAGTGGGCCTTAGATTCTGTCTAAACACATTAACTTTGGGATTCTTATGATATATTCAGGTAAGCAAAGGAGGAAGGATGAGAGGAGAAAAACAGCTTTCAGGGTCATCAGCAGATGAGCTGTTCCAACTCATGCACGAAAAGAAAACGACACTTTCAGAAACGGAAGATGGTGGCCGGGCGCAGTGGTAGCTCACGCCTGTAATCCCAGCACTGCGGAAGTCTGAGGCAGGCAGATCGCTTGAGGCCAGGAGTTCAAGATCAGCCAACATGACAAAACCTCGTCTCTACTAAAAATACAAAAAGTATCCAGGTGTAGTAGTGCAAGTCCGTAATCCCAGCTACTCAGGAGTCCGAGGCAGGAGAATCATTTGAACCTGGGAGGCGGAGGCTTCAGTGAGCTGAGATCATGCCCCTGCACCACTCCAGCCTGGGCAACAGAGCAAGAGACTCTGTCTCAAAAAAAAAAAAAAAAAAAGAAGATGGATCCAAATCCTAAGAAAAGAGCTGTGGATGTGAGCCCTGAGCAGAACATGGAGCCGTAGCTCTGACGCCCAGGAAAGGAGTGACTGCACCCCTCCCTCCAGGGCTTGCGAAGGGCCCGCAAGTGAATCCCTATGTTTCTAAAATTTGGAAGGAGAAGATGAGGGGAGTGATGTTTTGTTAGGTTCAAATCTGGGCCCTAAAGAAGGGATCACAAGTGCAGACAAAGGTGAAAGTCAGGATGTAAAATCACAGAGCTCCTTCTCTGTGCCAAGCATTGTATGTATCATGTTATCACTTTCAGTTTTCACAGCCGATGACGCAGGTATTTCTGCCCCAAAATACAGACAAGGAAGCTGAAGCACAGACACTCGGGCTACGTCTGCACAGCCCATACATAGCATCGCGTCTTCCTTCTCTCCCTCAGCGCAACGCCTGGAAGAAGTGGCCGCTGAGATCCTTCTCACAAATAGTCATTCTGTAGAGAATCTCCACTCTGGGGTCCGTAGCAAGTACTGACTTTCCATCCTATGTTGTAAGCTGATAAGGGGAGTTTTAAATACTGAACAAGTTCTAATTCCATTGCTCCTAGAGTTCTAGTGCTTAGTGGGTGGGTAGGGAAACGTTCTCTTGTTTTCATCACGCATGAAAAGTAGCAAGAAGTAAGCAGCATAAAGGTTCCAGCCATGCATTAAGATGCTACAGTGAGAACAGGGGGCCGCTGGGGGCCCTGGACTCCTGTGGGAGTTCAGTGCTGAAGGGGAGGCTAGGTCCTGCTGTCCTAGGGATGGACAGAGGCCCTGGGCTGTGGTGTGTGGAAGAGGACCTTGTGGGGCACAGGCACTGAGCTACCCATCAAGTGAGCGGGGGCAGGTAAAGACCATGCCTGTCCATGCGCAGGCTTCTCACAGGTGCCCTCGGCCAGCGCCCCAGAAGGAGACCACAGGGCTTCTTCTCACCCACAGACATGGCTTCCGATACGGGCTCCTGAGCCCCAGAGCTGGCATTCTAGGAGTCTAGAGCAGCCCCTGTGCCAAGGCCAAGGCTTCCTGGAGGCCACCGCATTGTCGGAGCCAAATCTTGTTGTTTTTGAGGATTTGTTCTGTTTGGTTTAGCTTTGCCCCCAGCCCAGGCCTCCATGGTGGCCAAGAGCTGTCCCTGGCCCTCAAGTCTGCAGGGAGTGACTCAGGGACAGGGCAGCAGGTAGGGCCTAAGGGAGCCCAGCCTGTGTGGTGGGGTCAGGGACTGGGCTTGCCCCACAGGAATCCTACATCTGGGGAGATGGGATCCTGGGTAGGACTCCATAATTCTCCCTGGGTAAGACACTTTAATTGTCCCTGGATAGGATACCGTAATTCTCCCCTTCTTTCCTCTTTTCTTCATTCATGCATTGATTCACCCGCTCCGTGCAAGGCTTTGGGCTAGGAATTGGGGAACCGCGGACAAACACTTGCATGGTTTATACTCCCAGGAATCGCCTCTCAGAGGAGCCTGTAGAGGACAGAACCGCGTGAGCCTGCAGCGGTCGCATTGTGAAGACAGCCAGGCCCAGGCCTCTTGCAGGATGCAGAGTCACACAGCTGGGAACACGCCACAGATAAGGCAGGGACATCGGTCAGTCCGAAGGATGGAGGCAAGGGTTGCAGGGAGAGCCCAGCAAGGACAGCGGGGCCTGCGGGCAGGAGAGGGGCCTACATGGCTGCAGGGCCAGGCCTCGAGGAGCCAACGAGCCGTGTGGAGGAACTCGGGTCCCCCTGAGGAAGTGAAGAGCCTCGGATGATGCTAAAGGCTGGCCTGGAGGTGATCCCAGCCAGGGGGCCTGCACTAGCACTGCTGGAAGCGGAAGCTGGACAGATGGGGAGAGGCCTTGGGTGTGACATCAACAGAACCTGAGGGAAGCAAAACCCAGCAAGGACACACTCCGTCTGCTGGCCTGGGGCTTTGGGTTGGTGACGTGGACGATGAGTCTAATTTTGGGGCATCCAAGCAGCTTTGCAGCGTCAGCGGGGTGCAGGGGTGGACCTGAAGTCAACCTACGCTGGCCTCAGAGCCCCAGCGACCTGCAGGCAAGTCAGGAGCCAGAGGCTGGGGCAGGGGCGGAGGAGGCCGCAGTAGGAACAGGGAAAGGTCGGGGGAAGCACAGACGGGCCCCTCTCTCCAGATTCTGCCTGTAGGAAGGCGGGGAGAAGAAGGGCCCCAGCAGGCAGCGAGCTCAACTGCCCTCGCCTCTTCCTTCCTCTTCCTGTGAAGAGCGAGACAGGGGAAGGAGCAGAGGGATTCCCCGCTGGCTCCAGGAGCTGGGGCAGCAGGGGCCTGGAGTGAAGGCGCTGTGGGGCCTGACAACCTCTTTCCTGCCCAGACCCAAACCCTGAACCCTCCCCCACCCGCCTGTGCTGAGGGGCTGCCCCTACCTGAAGAGGGAGGACGGCCAAGGCCTGGGAGGCGGGATGGAGCCTGCCTTTAGGGGAGTGAGCACTTCCTCCTGGGAATCTGCATGTTTCCAAGAATCAGAACTGACCAGGAAAACTATCCCCGAGCTCAGGAAAGCCAGGGAGAAGAGTGGCCTCCCACCTGGACCCACCCATATGCCAGCACCAGGGCTGCCATTTCCACAGGACCCAATGGTATGGCAGGAGATTACCCAATTTCTGGTTCTTCAATTCTTTTCCAAAAATCCGACTTACTTTATATATTATTGTTTGTGGTGTGTATGTGTGTATATTTTTCTGTTCCAGCTGAAAAAATTCCCTTTACAAGCATGTCCAAAGCTTCTGTACCCGAGGCTGAAAATTAAATAAAATAAGCGTGTCCAGCTCCTCCTCTCCCATCTGCAGGCACAACCTGAAGCCTGGAATAAGTCACTAGCCCGTCACTGTCTCCCAAGACACGAACCTGAGATGGAAGTGCTTGGGAAGCTGTTGTGAGAGACAGAGCCCCCAAGAATGAGGCTGGGAGGCTGTTTTCCTCAGTCATGTTCACCCCCGACATGCACACGTCCATGTGCACTCGCTCACTGTCCACAAAACCTCCTCCAGCATCTTTCCTGGTGACTCCTGACTGCTTCTGCCCTCTCCCAGTGAACCAGTTTCCCTCCCGTTCACAGCATCCTAGCCCACCCCAGTCTCCCGGCTTTCTTGAAAGGGGACCGACGGTGCCTAAAGCCTTGGAGAGGACACAGGGAAAGAACTCTGCTCCTGAATCTTGACTGTGTACCCAGAAGCACAGGTTTCCGGAAAGAATCGAGTCACAGCCTCATCCGTTAAGAAAGCTTGCTGGAATCAACGGTGTGGGGTGGTTTCTGAAACGTGTTTCTTATTTAGCCTTTCAGGTTGCCCGAGAGCAAAGAAAAGCGGTATCAGGATAGCACAGAGCAAAGAAGATAAGGAAGATCAAGAGCCCATCAGGTACGAGCACCAGTGGGGCTGAGAACCGTAGCAGGGCTGCCGTGTGGGGATGAGTCATTCAAGCAAAGCACATCTGCTGATTGGCTGAAAAGTTACAGGGGCTGTCCAGCAGTAAGCTGATATCCATCAATCTGAGGTTCCAGGTAACCCAAATCACCCTCAAAAACACCTTCCCTCTCTGCTTGGTGGGGAAAGCAGCTGAATTATTGGGAACAGCAGATTGGTGAACGCTCCTGAAAGTACTAAATACAACACCACAAGCGAATGCTTCACTGGTATTCTGGCTTGTAAAAATAGTTTAGTTATACCTGCCTTGCTCTAAAGCAGGGCTTGGGGCCACAGCAGACACTGGGCTCGGGGCCTGTGACGACCGACGGGCTGCCCAAGGGGGTGTTTGTCCCCATCCCACGTCAGCCACGCCTGGGCCCCAAACACCCACACAGTAAACCTCACTCCACATCTTCAGAAAAAAAAATTTAATTAAAACAGAATCAAAATAAAAGCGTACATTATTCAAATAAATTAAGATTTGTCAAAATAAATAGGTAATGCAAATTCTGGGGAACGCAAACTTTTCTGTTAATAAAAACAATGCAGGCAAACTCGCCACTCAGGACACATGAGGAGCGCTTAGGCCAGGCCCTGCCTCCTTCAGGCGCCTCTGCTGCCCTGGCGTGTGTCTTGGTCTTGCCATTCCCAAGTTCCCAGGAACACACCTGCCCTGTGTCCATGTGCCAGCCTGACTCCAGGAGACTTCCTGAGACGTCTCTACAGCTGAGTATCTTCTCTAGCTGGAAGGGCATTTTAAGGCCTCCGGAAGACACAGCCAGACAAACGTCTTCTAGCCCTTGAGAAAAGCACGAAGCAGCCTCTTTAAAAATAATGCCACGACATCTTATTGACTTTGCATTTTTTCCACCCGAAAAGCCATGGTTCTGTCCCAAAGTGGTGACTTTTAAATACACGCTTGTATAGCTGCAAGCGGCTGCATGGTCTTTTGTGTGCTGAGCCCATCAGTCCCCACAAGGCACATACACTTTGTTCCAGAAAATCCTTCCCTCTGCAGTGGGTCAGGCCTTCTGCGCAGGTGAACTAGTTCAGTCTTCCACTAGGTGGTGTCTTTTAGTGACTTTTCTTTCTATTTTTCTTTTCCTTTTGCCCAGCCAGGAGGGCATGGTTCTTTTCCTCCTCATGCCAGGTTATCCTGACTTTGTTACAGAGACCACCAGCCGATGGTGGCCAGGCAATAAAGTGTGTCCCCTCTGCCTGCCTGCAGGTGTCCGGTCCCCGGGTGCGATGGCCAGGGTCACATCACTGGGAAGTACGCGTCCCATCGCAGCGCCTCCGGGTGCCCCTTGGCGGCCAAGAGGCAGAAAGACGGGTACTTGAATGGCTCCCAGTTCTCCTGGAAGTCGGTCAAGACAGAAGGCATGTCCTGCCCCACGCCAGGGTGCGACGGCTCAGGCCACGTTAGCGGCAGCTTCCTCACACACCGCAGGTGAGTGGCTGCGTCTGCGGGACCCTAGCTGGGATGGTGCCGCCGAGAGCCAACTGGCATGGCTGGTTACGATGGCAGCAGGTACCAGCTTCTCCCATCACCTGTGTTTAGAAAAAAAAGGCTGAAAACTATCGTACCAACCTAACAAAATTCAAAGGTTTGGGGACAGCGTTGAAACACCTTAAACTTACATTAGGGAGCACAGCCTCCTTCAGCCCCATCTAGAGATGACCACAGCAGTTTTCCATGTTTAAAATTAGAATCCACAGTAAGATATAGATTTTCATTTTAGACATGCACATGAATATCTTAAGATTTAGTTACTTATTTCACCTGAGATTCACAGGTAGGCCTCACTGGGGGAAAGAGGATGGCGTTTGGCACGGTGGCTCCTGGTGAATGCCTGCGCCAAAGATGCATGAGAAAATCCCCAAAAGAGCCAATCAACCTCATTCATTTTTATTTGCTTCATTTAAAAAGAAATACAAGCAGTTAGATTATCTTAGGAGAGGCCCGTTGTGTGCAGTCAGATGGTGCAGTCGGTCCCTCTGTGGGGAGTGAAGACCGGGGTGGGACCTGTCTCCACGGCTGACGGCTCCCATTACGCTCGGCGTCCCTCAGCTTCCTTGAGGAGGTGGAGGGGAAGATACAAACATCACACGTACGATGTGAAGGTCGTGCCCTTTGGGGAGATTTGCAGTGGTTTCCTTTCTGCTGCCCTATGTGCCACTTTTACGAAGATCACACCTGCGCCTCAAATCCATCTCAAACACAGCATGAACAAAGCTGGGTATGCAGATTACAGGAATAATGGCACGTTCAGTAATAGGTGACTCTGATCCTTAAAGAAATGTTAAGGAAGATTGTTTTTAATTATTAAAGAAATGCCTGCTCAAGTAGAAAATTCAAACAATATAAATTGGTTTAAAGAGAAAAATTGGCCGGGCACAGTGGCTCATGCCTGTAATCCCAGCACTTTGAGAGGCTGAGGCAGGCAGATCACTTGAGGTCAGGAGTTTGAGACAGTCTGGCTGGCATAGTGAAACCATGTCTCTACTAAAAATACAAAAATTAACTGGGCCTGGTGGCTGGCACCTGTAATCCCAGCTACTCGGGAGACTGAGGCAGGAGAATCACTTGAACCCGGGAGACGGAGGTTGCAGTGAGCCAAGATTGCACCCCTGCACTCCAGCCTGGGCAACAGAGCAAGACTCTGTCTCATACAAAAAAAAAAATTGAGAGAGAGAAAGAAATTGAATGTTCTTTCCCGGACCTGACCTCTCAACTCCCTTCTCAAAGGCAGGCAGTTCCTGTCTTCTCTGGAACTGAAAAGCACCCCTATTTATACACATGGATCTCAGTGTCTCCCAGAACCCTGCATGAGGACAGGGGCCTCGGCTGCTCACCAGGACCACCCAGGGCCCAGAAGACGGGGCATTCCTCGTTAGGTGCACGGAACCCCAGGGTATCACAGAGCCACGTCACCCTCCCCCAGTGAGCCTGCTGCCGTGCGTGCCGCCCGGTGTCCTGTCCAGGTTTGATTGTTACAAAGAACTCCACGTGAACGTCCTTCCACACACACAACTCCATGTCCTTGTGCAAGCAGATCTTCAGGATATATTCCTGGAAACAAGAATGCTAGCTTTAAAATTTTGACAGATTGTGCCAAAATGCCCTCCAAAAAAGTATCTACTTTCCCAAACCTTTCACCATTAATAAAATGTTTAAAAATTTTGTAAAAACCCTGCCCATTTGACCTATGAGTAAGGGCTTGTCTGTTTTGCTGGCCTGACACAGACGAAAACAGTTCCATCCTCTCACGTGAGCATTTCTGCACTCCGGGGATGGCACTGGTTCAGAGCTGCCTCTACGGAGCCTGGTGCTTTAGCTTTCCTCCTGCTGAGACTTTGCCCATTTGATTTAAGCAGCAAATACCAGGTGCCAGATAAGTGCTGTTCCCTCCCACTCCCCAGCCTCTGGTTGCATTGCATGTTAGGGCCAGAGGACGGCCCTCCACCAAGAACTCTGTGCTGCCGCTTGTTCCATGGGGGAGGCTCAGAGCTCAGGAGCCACTGAAGTGGGAAGCAGGACCCCGCCCCAGGTCACCCCTTCCCAAATGCCAGGCGTGAATTTCTGCAGCTAGAACCTCACCCGCACATCTCTGTCTACTCTGTTGCCAGCCTCACCTCAATTTCCACCCTTCCCTGTTTCTTTTCTCCAAAGGGAGCCTCTTCCCCAGGATCCCGGGCACAGAGTGAGAGCATGTTGAGATGCATGCACTGGCCTCGACAAGCTGATGGAATCTTGGGGAGCAGGCTGATGGAATCTTGGGGAACAAGCTGGTGGAATCTTGGGGAGCAGCCTGATGGAATCTTGGGGTACAAGCTGATGGAATATTGAGTGCAGGCTGATGGAACGTTGGGGTACAGGCTGATGGAATGTTGGGGCACAGGCTGATGGAATGTTGGGATGCAGGCGAGAGGAATTTGGGGGCACAGGCTGATGGAATGTTGGGGTGCAGGCTGATGGAATCTTGGGGGCAGGTTGATGGAATCTTGGGGTTCAGGCTGATGGAATCTTGAGGCACAGGCTGATGGAATCTTGGTGGCAGGTTGATGGAATCTTGGGGTGCAGGCTGGTAGAATTTGGGGGCACAAGCTGATGGAATCTTGGGGTACAGGCTGATGGAATCTTGGGGCCCAGGCCACATTAGTGAGTAAAATCACAGCTTACAGGCTCATGTTACTCAGAGAATTTGCAATGCTGGAAGCTCCCATCTCTAGAAAGCTGTATGCCTCTCACTTCACTCCCACCTGGTTGCCACCCACCCTTGCCCAGGGCTCAGAGCCTCCTCTTTCAGGATCCCAGGTCCCTGGAGGGCCCACAGAAGTCCAGGCATGATAGAAATGACTCCAGCTGCCCATGCCCCACCTACCCTGCGGGGCCACAGCTTGATGGGAGAGGCCACAGGCTCCAGGCCCAGGTATCAGCATTCACGTGCGGGGTGTGGAGGTGGAAATGCCAGTGTGCCAGGCAGCTCTTGCTACAGCCCTGCCGTGGGCTGGCTGAGCTGCACGGAAATGTTGACACTCCTCCATTTTACTAAAAGGCACCATCAGAACTCTCTGAACTGCTGGCTTCGGCCACCTCCGAGGAGGAAAGGGGACCTCCCTGGGTGTCACAGGGCTCTGGGCGTGTCTGCCCGGGGACCAGCACCTCTGTTGTGCAGCAAAGGAAAACCCGGGGCAGCAGCACAAGGGGAAAAGGGGCAGTCCAGGCCTGAGCACGGCGGACCTGGGTTCTGTTCTGTTCTGTTTTTATAGTTGTGGTAAAATATTAACACACTCATCTTTAGGTGTATGGTTCAGTAGTGTTAGGTATACAGATGGTCCTCGACTTACAATTTTTCGATCTTACAATGGTGCAAGAGCAATATACACTTGGTAGAAATGGCACTTTGAGTATCCACGCAACCATTCTTTTTCACTTGCATACGGTATTCAATAAATTACATGAGATATTCAACACTTTTGTATAACTAGGGCTTGTGTAAGTTGACTCTGCTCAGCTGTGGACTGATGTAAGTGTTCTGAGTGTGTTTAAGGTGGGCTAGGCTAAGCTATGATGTTGAGTCAGTACAATTAGTAAATGCATTTTTTACTTAAAATATTTTCAAGATACAGTATTTTCAACTTAAGATGGCTATATGGGGATGCTGACCCCATGGTATGTGGAGGAGTACCTGTGTCCATCCCCATGGTATGTGGAGGAGTACCTGTATCCATCCCCGTGGTATGTGGAGGAGTACCTGTGTCCATCCCCGTGGTATGTGGAGGAGTACCTGTGTCCATCCCCGTGGTATGTGGAGGAGTACCTGTGTCCATCCCCGTGGTATGTGGAGGAGTACCTGTGTCCATCCCCGTGGTATGTGGAGGAGTACCTGTGTCCATCCCCGTGGTATGTGGAGGAGTACCTGTGTCCATCCCCGTGGTATGTGGAGGAGTACCTGTGTCCATCCCCGTGGTATGTGGAGGAGTACCTGTGTCCATCCCCGTGGTATGTGGAGGAGTACCTGTGTTCCATCCCCCGTGGTATGTGGAGGAGTACCTGTGTCCATCCCGTGGATCCTGGATGGAGTACCTGTGTCCATCTGTGGTATGTGGAGGAGTACCTGTGTCCATCCCCGTGGTATGTGGAGGAGTACCTGTATCCATCCCCGTGGTATGTGGAGGAGTACGTGTATCCATCCCCGTGGTATGTGGAGGAGTACCTGTATCTATCTCCGTGGTATGTGGAGGAGTACCTGTATCCATCCCCATGGTATTCGAGGAGTACCTGTATCCATCCCCGTGGTATGTCGAGGAGTACCTGTATCCATCCCCATGGTATGTCGAGGAGTACCTGTATCCATCCCTGTGGTATGTGGAGGAGTACGTGTATCCATCTGCATGGTATGTGGAGGAGTACCTGTGTCCATCCCCGTGGTATGTGGAGGAGTACCTGTATCCATCCCTGTGGTATGTCGAGGAGTACCTGTATCCATCCCTGTGGTATGTCGAGGAGTACCTGTATCCATCCCTGTGGTATGTCGAGGAGTACCTGTATGCATCGCCGTGGTATGTCGAGGAGTACCTGTATTCACGCTGTTGTGAAGCTGATCTCTCCAACTCTTCCGTCTCCATCGAAACCCTGTCTCCATTCAACACTGACTTCCCCTTCCTCAGCTGCCTGGCCCCTGCACCCACACTGCGCTTTCTGCCTCTATGAATCTGACACTTCTGGGGACCTCCTATAAGTAGAATCCCACGGGGTTTGCTTTTTTGTGACCGTCTTATTTCACGGAGTCCATGTCCTCAAGCACATGGGCTTGAGGGCTTATAGCACGTGTCCGAGCTTCCTTCCCTTTTAAGACTGAATAATATTCCATCATGTGTTGACCATGGTTTTTCTCTGTTGATCAAATCTTCATCAATTTTATTAGACAGGCAGAATATTATTTT